CGCCGTCGTCCGGAGAAGATTTAGTTCACGTTTCCGTGACCTCCACCAGTTTACAACGCCCTGCTTCCGATTTAGGATAATGGGAACCGGTTAGAGCCGGTCACTGGGAACGTGAGGGAAATACGCGTCTAATCAAACCCAAACCGGCTCGATTAGCGCCACGCCAGCGAGGTGAAACAACGCGCCTGCGGTTCAAGACCGCAACTTCTGTCACGGGGAAGCGGGTCGGGATTCTCGGATTCTCTCCCAAGCGCGGAAGGGAGAGCGGCTGCGGTCCCGCGCTGGCGGCGGAGGGGAAGCGGGGCTGGACGCGTGGGCGGAGGGGAGCTCCGCTGCTCTGCCTCGATAAGGAGCGCAGCCTTGGAGAGCGGAGGGGGTCGTTTTGCCTTTAAACTCTTCAAATCCTGCGCTCGCCGGTGAAAACGGCGCGAGGATGGAGAAGGCGTGGGTGGGAAAAGCCCTTACGTGGCAGAATGCGGCCCGGACTCCAGCGGGAGGTTATTTACCCTGCGCTGCCACGGCTGACTACGCACCGACCAGAAAACTGCTGGTCTTGGCTTAAAAAGCTCCAACTCCTTTCTGTGGAAGAGCAGGGTTTAAATTCTTTTTAAATGCTGGGCGGAGATCAAATTCTCCTCGTCTCTGTTCAGACCCCGTACACAAGTACTTCTAAAAATAAAATTAACGTGCGATATATCCCCCCGCAAGGCGAAGCAGTAAGAACACTGTCAGCTTTATTTGTTCCAACTCTGTAAACCAAATCCAGTTACCGTGAGCACCACGGGCTTTTTTTTTTTTTTCCCTCTTCTGAAGGGGAAGTTTGTTTCCCAGCTGAAGGGACTTTTTGGCAAAACCGACCCTTTTCAGGGGAAGGATGGAAGTAACTGAGAATCGCCGCGCTGTCAAAGGCACAACACAGCGTTTATATACGCTACAGCTGCTGAGCTCTTCAAATTTACAAATAATAAGCACAAATTTCAGGCAAAACATAAAAGCCAAAGTTGACAGTGTCCCTTTACATCAGTAAACGCTTCCGGGCATGAGAAGAATCTGCCAGGATTTACTCTAATACTGTCTCGAACCCTCCAAGGCAGATTTTTAGTTCAAACAGACCCAAATTGTCAATGTTTCGGGGAACAAAAGAAAATAACGTAGGCTTGAAGTCAGCGAGGAACCGCCGAAGTAATCGATAAGCAGGAACCGAGTCTCTCCAAACATTCATTCATAAAAAATAATTATTAAAGCCTTCTTCAAAACATCTTTTGGAAAAAGATTTAAAAAAAAAAAAAGTCTTATTTATAAATATAGCTACACTGGTTATAAATAAATGCACTTAGATTCTCAAAACCCAGCAAATCTCACGAAGCCTTTACAGTAACAGTCACATAAACCTTCCTCTCCCACCGCTCGCTGGTGAACCCGACCGGCGAGACGCTGCTGAAGACGGGATTTCGGCAGATCCCACCTTCCCTTCCAGCCCAGCCGCCGGGAACTGACTGATTTTAGGATGAAAAGCAGTTTCCTCTTGAGGCGAGAGATTCCTTCAGAGCCGCGACCGTACGTTCATACCTTTCGGAATCTGTGAGTCCGTATTACGTCTCCGACATCACGACATGGCTGATCTATCGGCAAAGAAACGTTAAAGGCAGTACCTGAACCAACTGAAAACCACGTTATCTGGACACATTTAGAAATAACCGGAAAAAACACAATGCAAGGACCACGAAATCAAATTATTACCTTGAATACTGCCAATGGTTACAAAAGTAGGACAAAAAACCCCAGCAAACCCTGAACCAATAAACTGCGGGCCAAAAGAGCTATGGATTTTGATCTGCAGGAAGACGGAGAGCAGGCCAGCTGCCGGGGCCTCCGAGCTCCAAGCCGCTCCTTGCCCTTAGAACCTTTTTGCCACAGACGGCACGGCTTGCCTGCTGGCATTTTTCTAAATTTCCCTTGTTTATGGCATTTTTTCTAAATTGCACTTGATAATCTTTCACTATCGAGCTCCACGCGATTATTTGGGGTGCTTCCAATCGGTTCCCTGCTGGCTTGAAACCCATAATCTGCTGTACTAAACGGATCCCTGCACTGAACAGGCCTGCAAAGAGTAAAAAAAAAAAAAAAAAAAACCCCAAACCCGAACATTTCAGTAACAAGATCAGCTGCTTGTTAAAAAAGGTTTTAGTATCTTTAAAAATAAAAACTGTCTAGTAAAAAAAGTGACATATGTATCTCCAGAGACAACTCGACTCCCCAGCTGTCTTGCAACCGCCGTATGTATAGTTCTGCATATATAATCAGTTAACGCTACTGTTCAGCGCAGAAGTGTCAAATAGAACATTTGACTAAATACCATAAAAACGAGGAGGAATTTTTTTGCGATCCCTTTGGGGAGTTAAGAGGTCTGACAGAGAGCTCCCCAAAATTGTTCCTGAAACAAAGAGGGCGAAGCCTGGTGTTCCCTGATACCATGAAACGCTCCGGCTGACATTCAGCCTGGCCTTTGCTCTTGCATTGAAGGTTGCCACGATCAAAAAGATTCACGGCATTGGAAGAAAAAGAACATGGAATTCCCTTTCTGGCTGAAAGGAGAAATCCCCTCCGCACTTTAGAAGATTATTTTAAAGCAAAACCCCAAGAGACTCCTTTTCGTGAAGGTGCAGATCCGGTCACTCGACTTCGCAGAAGGGAGCGAACGCCTCTGGTTATCGCAGAAAGTCTGTTTTCAGTGCTGTGATTTCCAGGCAGCTGAGCGCTACACCAGCTGCTTTGGCAATGAGGTATTTCTTTTCCACTGCCCAACAACGCAGGTATTGACATCACCAAATGAGCCGTCAGGTCACTCGCTGGCTAAAATTCTGTAAAAAAAGCTTCCAATCTCTCAAGGTCAAGCTTTAAAAGCACCTTTTGGCACCGTGCTGGAAGCAGAGTTATGTTGCGAGCGGTTGGAGAAGCTTCTGCCCCTGGTGATGGGGTGGCTTTGACAACAGCCCTCTGCTCTCAACACCGTTTGCCAACAGCACCTTATTTCACAAAAACAAAAAAAAAAAAACCCCAAAAAAATTATTTTGCTTTACAAAACCCAGTCAATCGCCAAGGACTAGGAGGTTACAGTTTCCACAGCGATATCAGTTGGCTGATCCGTCTCCAACATGGCCAGCACGGATTCCTTGATGTCCTCCGAGGTTACCACGAGCGGGTCTGCCTCGACGACCTCTTCGAGCACCGTCACCTCCACTCCATTGGGCTGCTGCCTCACCATGGCTGCCAGCTTCAGCCGGTACTCCTCCGCCTCTTGCTCTTTCTTCATGAGCTGGCTGCGATATTCCTGAGCCTTCCGGTTCGCCTCTTGCAACTGCTGCTGTAGCACTTCCCTTTCAACGCTGTCCTACGGAAAATAAAAGTTGAGAGAGCCCACGATGGAGGCCCAACCTGTGACCCAAAGGAAACGGGGTGTGCAAGCACCCCAACAGTTACGAGATACAAAAGCCAAATGATGGCACTAGAAATGTGCTTGGGTTGAGTTCGAGTTCAACTGCCTTGCTCGTCACAGGTGACCAGAGGCAAGCGGGCCCCGGGGAGGCACAACCTGGTTGGTAGGTGCCCCACCGTGTGCAGGGGGCTGGGAAGTCACGCGTCACCTCAGCGTGATGGATTTCAAAGGTTGGAAGCGGGTGTAACCAAGGTGCAAGAAAAATAAAGAGCTATTAGTGCTGAAAAGTTGAGAGGCAATCGAGAAGAATGTTCTTCCTCCCCAACAGAGAGCGAAGGGAGTTGTACCGGCTGCTTTATGGAGAGCTGTGACTTGGCTTACACCCAGCCCGTGTGTTGTGCTTCTACAGGAAATCCTAAATAATCTCAGTAAACGACCACAATTCATCTAAAAACCCTGAGCGACAGCTTCAGCACAGGCAAAACGGCAACCTGTCATTTCGCTGGCTCTTTTCCTCCTACCTACACTCAACTGAGCATCGCTCCTCTCAAGCGCTTGCGCGTTCATTGCTAAGGCAGGAGCACGTGCGGGAAGAGCAGGGAACCTCCGAGCAGAGTTTGTTACAGAACCGTCCCCGGGTGCAGCTCGTTTCTATTCTGAAATGGCTTTGCTAGACCGGGACATCCTCAGCACAGCAGAGAAACATGCAGGAGATAGTGGCAATCAAAGTTACAAGCAGGAGTATCTACCTTGTCTTCCTTCGAGTCATCTACATCTTGTTCCACTTTTTGCTTTTTGGCCAGCGGCTTTTCCTGCTCTTCTGCGTCATCTCTGTCTTCAATAACAGTCTCTTCTGCAACCTGACCAGCAGGTAGAGTTAAAACTGAAAAATTAAAAGGTGACAAGTTATACAGCGCGAGACGTGCTTTTGCACAGATGTTTCCCGAAAGACTTCGCTGACATCAGTGTGTCAGCGTGGTTCTGGAGAAAAAGAGGAGAGTTGTGGATCGGCAATGCCTGAGTCTTTTTGGAGAGGAGAGAAACTCTGGACCAGGTTTCCAGTTTTCTTCATTCAAGGCCCTGAAATACTCGAGTATTTCACCACAACGGGGCTGACAGAATCCAAAGTCAAAAGATTTGCATCTTAGAAAACACGTGAGGTAAAAACGATCATTCTGATGGCTCGCTAACGCAATTAACAGCCGAGACAGGCTAAGCAAGAGGAATAGAAAGCTCTTCTCAAAAATTCCCAGTACGCAGTCCCACTGGCTAAGCTCTGAATCAGCTTTAAGCACATGCAAGAGCTGCAAATACTGCAGAGAACAAACACATTTTAAATCTGCAAACATGGGGTTTCGCTTTGGGAAGCCAGTAGCAAGAATTTGTCCAACCGAGGAGGAGAAACGCACCACGTGAGCTACTGAAGGTAGCGCTACCTAAACAGTTCTCCCTTTGTCTTCCTCAGACTAAGAATGGGCTACAAGCCAGGAATTAGTTGTAGTAATTTGGCAAATAATTCTGAATAATTAACAGCTTTAGAAAATTGCTTTTCCCTCATCAAGTACTAAACCAGATGGAATTGATGCAACCTATCTCACTGTACGCGTGTCGCGGGAGAGCTGCTCTGCTTCCTAATCCTCTTTTTCTCCACCAACGTTAATCCAAATAATCGAGTATCCCTAGGACACACTAAAAGAACTGTCGGTAGTAGACGAGGCTGATGTATTACAGCCCTTGAGGAAACAAAAATTCCCTGTACCAGCGCTCTGGAGCTCTGCCCTGCTTTACTGCAGACGATTCACATTTGCCTTGTAAACCTGATAGATTAGATTGCCCTAGGCAATGTATCTAGAGTTATGAGAGGAAAAGGTGTATTTAAGCTGATATTAACGGCCTAATACTAAGTTTTATAAGAACGATGGAGTGATTGCTAAAGGTAACAGGTTGCAGTTTCATAGGTCAAGTGATTTACATCCAGACTGGGAAGTTCACTACAAGACAGAGGAATCGTCTTCGCCCAGCTGCCAAGGAGACAAGGGCTAACTTGGCATTTCTCCTCCTGCAACGTTCTACTGAAGGTGTTTGCAAAGACCAAAATCTTAAAGGGTAGCAGCGTGAATGTGCATTAAGGTACAAACAGGTTGCTGGCAAGCTTTACGGCTGACGTAAGTCACACAGATATTTTAACCCCTCCTAGAGCCCAGCAGGCACGGATCTGTTACACCAACACACCGACAAGCCAGACCACACTGGCCGCCAGCCTTGCGGGGCTCAGCAGCGTTTGCAGGCAGCAGTTATTTTTTATTCTTTTTGAAGTGAATCCAGCGCTGCCTTCCCAGTTCAGCTCCTCCTTACCTTGCTGTCCGTCTTGCATGGTTAGGATGAAGGGCTGGCTGAGGCCACTGGTGGGGATGGCTGTTTGCAGGCTGCCCAGGGGAACCCCGTCCGCTACAATGGCGATGACGTGCTGCCCTCCGCTGCCAACCACTTGTTGTAGGGTAGAATTGACAGAATTTGCTTCCGCTATTTCCTCCGTCTTACCTTGAGAAATAAAGTAAATGCCGGGGGGGGGAAAAAGTCAACATTTCCTTCTCCCTTCCTTGAACAGAAACTGAATTCTAGTGAAAAAGCTCAAGTACACAGCTGGAAACTCCTGGGACGCCTGCTGAGGAAAAACAACCTGGAAATACAGTGAGTCTTAGTAGGGGAAAGAAAATAAAATCCACAAAACAAGTCTCCTAGAGAAAAAACAGCATTTTTTGTGTGAATTAGTAAGTACTAGCATGCAAGCATATTAATTACATTTAAAAGCCTGGATCTGGAGGCAGCTGTTAAGCAGACCTGGCTCTGCAAAGCTTCCTTCCATCACCCTTCCCCCAGCTCTAATGAAGACAAACCACACGCAAAATACTCTCGGTGCCTCAAGAGCCCCATCCGCACAAGCAAAAGCAGCCGTGAAGAGGCTGTTTAGTTTGGCCGGATAACCGCAGACCGATTCCACTCCCTGGGACACTTTGTATGTGACTCAATGGCTTGCAGAAATAATCAGGATTGCAAACCCTCAGCTGCATCCTGCTCCCAGCGTACGCTGCAAGGGCAGGAAACAGAGGGGATCTGACCTGCTGAGTGTGCTCTGGGTGCCTAAGAGGAAAACACTCGAGCACTGCAGGTCAAGGAATCGGTGGTGTGGCACCAGCAGCTTAAAGAAGTCAAATTGCTCATCTCTAGATTCTAGGAAAAACACTTAGCTTTGGAGAAAATAAATGAATTCCAAGGTGAAAGGATTATATAAACTTTAACTTTATCATATTCCTAAATCTGAAGTTAATTAAAGGTCAAGCATTACATTCTACAAAGGTTAACATAAAAGATCATAAAAAACCCCCAAACACAGAAAACCGCCCAAACCTTTCCGTAAGAGAAGTTACCAGAGCCTCAAGAGACTCAAAACATCGGTTGACTACCAACATTTTACAGCAAGCTGGGGACAGAAAACATTTCAGACAATTTCCTTCTAAAACAAATATTTACCTACGTTTGTATATTAAAGTAAAGCCATGCTCTAGAGCGCTGGTTGGGTTTTATTTTTTATACAACTATTAAAGCACGTCAAGAGCAACATACTGTGATGTCAGTGTCAGAGGTGCTGGTTAATAAAGTTACTTCTATTGGTAAGAGTTGCTGGTTTTTTAACTAAGTTTGAACTGGGATTAAATAAACAAACAAAATCAACCCACTGCTTCACAAATATTTATCCTCATCTCTTCCTTACCCTGAAAGAAGGCAAATTCACCTCCACATCTTAAATTTCCTCCAATTTCCTCGCAAGATACTCGCTAGAACTACACAAATTTGAATCGCCATCTGACCAGATTCCCCTACCTGTGTCTCTGTTGGAGTTGGAAAGTGGTGCCGATGCTTCGGCGAGGGCCGCAAGCGTGGCAAGCACGGAGGTCATTGAATTGGAAAACTGCACCATAGAGACATGCGAGTCACCTGCTCGGGAAAGACGAGGGCAAACTGAAGGACTGGAGGGACCTGCCACATCTAAACAGCAAATAAAGCAGTCAGAATGCAACGATTTTGTCATCTAGAGATCAAGACCTCAGGTAGGAAGTATTTTCTAGGCTCCCACTTGTCCATGGAGAAGTGGGAGCCTAGTGGGAGTCCATACCACTTTAGGACAGACCGTACCCACTGCGAATGTTTTATGCTAATTTTAATAGAATTTAAAGCAAATATTTAATTATTTCTGAATCGCATAACAAAAAGAACAGCAAATCTGAACCGATTTGCTCCAGCTTTATTGTAAGAACTACAGAAAGGCAGGCTGTCCGCCGGGCTACTTGGCATGCCGAGCTCCGATCTGGAGACGTGGACGGCTTTTCAAGATGCAGCCGCGCTGCCTGATGACGCTCACAGACGTGCTGGAGTCTGACTGCTGTAACGTTGTGCAGAGCGGTTGCTATGCACGTAATTACTTGGCTTCGCGTCGTACTGCAACTTTCAAAATTGCAAAACTTAAAAACTGAATTAAACTCATTGGCCATTACAAGTAAATTACAGCACCTGAGCTCTTCCTCAGTTGGGAAAGTCTCCAAGTACAGCCTTCAGCATTACTTCATGGACCAAACGTTTTAGCACAAGTCACTTAACAGAGCCTTTTGCTCAAATGCAGAAATTTGGCCACGTATATCACTGGATTTCAATGTCCTGGGCATGCAGGTCCTTTCCTCCTCCCCTCTTGGGTTCAGTAAAGGAAAGACCACGGTTACTGCAATGGGGTATTGATTTGAATGAGATAAACAAGTCTTCTCGGTTCCAAAAAACAATGTTTCTTCCTCCAATTGACCATAGTAATTCCTATTCAAAGGCAGACTTAATAAGAATGGAACAGGAAATTAACTAAACGGGCGCAAACTCAGTGCCTATAACCCACAATTCCTTTTTTTTAAAAAAAAAAAAAAAAAAAAGAGATCCTGTACCTCATTGCCAGCGTAGATAAATAGATTACAAGCACACAAAAGGAAGTTCATCTAAAGTTCCCCTGCTTTAACCCTTGCAACCTCTTCTCCCTCTTGCTCACTGGCTCCCGATTTTACAAAGGTTATCAAGGGACTTATTTTCAAAGAACAATACTTTCAAAAGGCCGTGGGCTAGG